TTCACCAATTCCTTCAGTGCAGTTTCAACTTCTTCCTTCATTACCATCAGGTTTTTAAAAATATTTTTTTAAATCTCCCTGTTTATTTTCCACTATCATGTATATTTTATATATATATATATATTTCTTATGCCTGTTTGCGGTTGCAGGGTGTGTTGTGTAACTGTATGTATATGTACAAACAATTAATTATTTAATAACTAATAACTAATGTTGGAAAATAGTGGCTTATGCAATCACCAGAATAAAGAGAGGAAAAGTCAAAAATCAGCAAGACAACTGAGTTAGAAATTATAATCAAGAAACTCTTGCCCTAGGACCATATAAATCCATGGTCATTGTCCCAGTCAGACATATTCTCACCAGGTCTCTGTAGACCTCTATTTCATCAATTTTAGTATCAAGATTATGCTTGCCTCATAAAATGAATTTGGGAGGATTCCATCTTTTTCTATGTTTTGGAATAGTTTAAGTAAGATTGGTTCAGTTCTTCTCTGAATGTCTGGTAGAATTCTCCGGAGAAACCATCTAGGCCAGTTTTTTGTGGGTTTTTTTTTTTTTTTTTTTTGGTAACTTTTTTAGGACTTGTTCAATTTCTTCTTTTGTTATGGATCTGTTCAACTTTTCCAACTCAGACTGTGTTAGTTTAGGTAAGTGTTGTGTTTCTAGAAATCTGTCCATTTCTTCCATATTTTCAAACTTGTTCTTCATGGTATCCTGATATCATTTTTATTCCAGTTGGTTCTGCGTGATGTCACCCATTTCTTTCTTATCCATGTTATTTGCATTCTCTCCCTTTTTTCCTTTGCTAAATTTGCCAGTGGTTTGGCAATCGTATTAATCTTTTCAAAAAACCAACTTCTAGTCTTGTTGATTTTTTTCTATGGCTTATTTTTTGTTTCATTTATTTATGCTTGAATCTTTATCATTTCCTTTGTTCTGGTGACTGTAGGCATTACTTGCTGTTCTTTTTCTAGTTGTTGGAGATGTTGGTTTAAAGTGTTGATTTTGGCTTTCTCCTTCCTTTTTTTTAAATTGTGATTTGGGTGAAAATTTACAGAGCAAATTCACTTTCCATACAGCAGTTCACATACACTTTTGTCTCATGACATTGACTACAATTTACCCCAA